TTTGTGGAGCCATCTATGTGTAAAGACAACTAATAAACTTTTTTAGACAAAAAGCAATAAAATTGCTTTAAGAAAAAGGCTGAAACTTCCCAATATTGTAATACCTACGAAATAAGAAATAATAACAATAATAATTTTTAAAAAGTAATAATAATAATTATAATAATAATAACAAATAAATAAATAAAACCCCAGAGGAGATCATCCTGCATAGGAGGTTAAATTAAGGTTGAGGACTAGGGTGACAGGAATGTGCCATAATGAAAAATTTGGCTGAAGGCTGGGATTATATGAACGACTTGTCATTTGTGCACAATGCTCTTTGAGTAAGATTACACCCAGTGGGCATTTACGAAATGGCTTTTGTATCATCTACACTGGTAAATGAATGTGAAAAGTCCTTATATGAGAAAGAGCTTTTATTTACTAAGAAAAAAAAAAAATGTATATACCAAATCATTTTTTACTTATAAATATTTATAAAAATGAAATTAAAGTCATATATGAAAAAAATCTCTGCCACATTCTGTAAGATTCAGTGCTACAACCAGACCTTATATTGGTGAAAAACATGTTCAGTTAGAACATATGCGAGGAATATACCACTATATACAAGGAATATCAGCTATAATCACATAATATAAAAATTAGAAATCTGTAAAACAAAATTATTTGCTATGACAAGTACATGTATTTTTTTCACCCTGTAATTGACCTCTGTGAGCTAGCACACCAATGACAGTTGGGCTTGATTTCATTCAACAAGATCTGATACTGGTATAAGCAATTCTTTAGTTGTAAAATTATTTAAAACTAATTTGAACTCAACTCTGATTCTCCCAGGTCAAAACTTCTTTGCAATTTTTGTCTCAAAATGAAAGCACTAAAAAGGCTAGTTTCATGTATATACACTTTTTTTTTTTTTTTTTTTTTTTTTTTTTCAAAGTTGAAAATATTTAACAAAAAGCAGACATACCAAGTGGCATATTGAGCACTTGACATCATCAGGTGGGATGATTTCTGTCTTCACTTGTCTCTCCAAACGTCCAGCACTCGAACCTCTCCCTCGCCCTCTTCCTCGCCTGGCTCGACCTCCGGCGTGTGTCATCATGTGCAGTCGCAGCTTGTCTGTTTTAAAATGTATATAAAGTACAAGGGAAAAAAAAAAAAAAAAAAAAAAAAAAAAAAAATGCTCTGCTTGATACTAAAAGTTTTTATATGACTCTATGGGCTTTATTAAATGTATCAGCAGCTTACTATGTTTATATCATATCTTTATGAATCTAGTTGTGAGGTGTCACCTAAAATAAAAAAAGAAATACTCAACGAAATAGAAACAAACCAGGCCTGCTGAATTCTCGTAAACATCCAAGCGTAGTCCTAAATGGACACTTTAACTTTTTTGCTTCGTGGATCAACATGTGCCGCTTCAATTTGTCTCTGCGGTTAAAGGCAGTCTTGCAAATGTGGCATTCATAGGGTTTTTCTCCTGTGTGTATCAGCTGATGCAGCTTTAAGGAATACTCTGATTTGAATTCCTTGGAGCATTGCTAGAAATAAAGGTACACAAAACAGAAGATAAGTTTGACCCATTCAAAGAAACTATCATCAAAATTTTTGATAATATACATTCCCTTTCTACACATTATCTATAATAATAACTACTGCACACAGTTAAAATAAATGACTAAACATAACTTACAGCACACATAAATGGGTTGACTGTCCCATGCACATGAAGGTGCCTTCTGAGGAGCCTCTCTGACGTAAATACTTTCCCACACTGCTTACATGGATAATGGTGTGATGATGTGCGAAGATGGTGTTCCAGTGCCTCAGCACTTGCATACTTGTTCATGCATTTTGTACATCTGAAATAGCTGTAGGAGAGGGAAGTATGATTTCTTACAAAACACTTTAAAAGATATATAAGAACATTTTATGTTGCCCCAACCTACTGCCACGTAATATTTACCTTTGTTTCGGTCTCTCTCCTAACTTTAACCATTTGGTTTTAAATCACATAAATGATAACATAAATTAAATACTATTGCATCATCTCTGATCAACTATTTCAGTATGTAATTGCAAAATTATTCTCCATACAGATTTGTTATATACACATCTCATGTACTAAATTGTCATTCCTGCATCTTACATACTATGTTATCTATGTTCTTACCCTCATCCTATAATTTCTTTTGTCTTATCCCTACCTCTTCATTTGCTTGAGTATACTCATCATATTGGTGGGTATACTGAAACAGATCATCAATACCCAAAAATATACCATGGAGATGACCTAATCCCTTATGGTAAACCACCTTTTACACCAAGATAACATCATGCTAAATGGTTGTTCACTTGTTTGGCCAGCTACATGGCATATTCACTTTAAAGACAACACAACTCACCTTGGACCTACAGTCTTCTTTGGCTGTGGGTACATGGAGTGCTCATACTGGTGGAAACCCAAGGTCTTAAGAGAAGAGAACACCTT